ATCAGTACCTTAAATCTTGGTGAACATTTCATACCTCCTTCCCCGGCTTTAGCTTATCAACAAACCAGGAAGGTTTTCATCTGCCGCCTTTGCATTCGACAGAGATAAAATACGAGCTAATGTCGTTCATACTGACCAACGAACATAGACAGGAGCCCATTGGGCCCCTGACACGAAATAAAACAATTGCTCTGTAATTTTGAAATTTCTCCAAACGTCTCTCCTTGTGTAATCCCGATAAGTGTATTTTGTGCGGGCTGAGCTTCCAGTTTATTACGAAGAAAAACATTTTTTGTGGTTGTTAAATAAGCAAGAACTAAAAAAATTTGTCCTCAGACTTCAAACAGATGACGTACGTTATGATAATCACTAACGCAGATGTTTTTCAGGTAACGAACTTTCCTTCAGGTGGACATATTTCACCGGTTCGAAAATTCAGATCGTTTCGGAGTCCTTCTTTTCATCTCATCTCCTCTTCAACACCAAAGTAATGGTTGTGAGCTTATGAACTCGAAGAAAGGAAACTGAACTCTTACTTAGCTTGGCTTGGCGCAGACCGGATACACTGTATCATTACGCAAGAAATAAATTTAATACTGTCGAGCGAGACGAGATGCCACTAGGCTAATGTCTTTTCTTTGTCACGATGAATGAGCTTATAATTTCACCTTCTCTTTACGGTGGTAAAATATTTGCGTTGGCCAATTTACGTTTTCAACTCAGTTGTTAACACTAAACTACCCTATCAACAGCTAGTGTTATTTTTGCTAACAAAAAACTCCCTGGTTTCGTCTGTTTTTTTCCCTCTACTGTCTTTAAGAACTATTGAACATGATAAAAGCACCGAACAGACACAACACAAACGCAAAAAGAAAACCGGGAGGTTGCCAAGTTTTTATCGCCGAGGGAAAAGCAAAACGTGTTAAGAGGGTGAATTTTTTGTCGGCGACTTATTACGACCATGTATCGTCAGGTGCCATTTCAGATCATCACCACAAATTTGGACAAAATAAAAACAATATGAATATTCAACTTTTCATACCGACCCGAGCCGTCCATATGTGCTTGTTTAACAGTTGAACGAACACCCCGTATTACCACAGACCAGACGAAATCACCTTAAAAAGTTCTTCTTTTACTCACAGGTATTTCAAGTGCTTTGTAAATAAGAAAACTCTGCCAAACTTAGAGCGGGAATAAAACATCTCAACTGCATGGAAGCAGTGTGTAAACAGGAAGAACGAGAAGAGGAAGAAAATCGGTGTATAAACAGGAAGAAGAAGAAGAAAAAGAGGAAAAAGAAGAGGAAAAAGAAAAGAATCGAGGAAGAAAGAGGAAGAACGAGGAAGAAGAATAAGAAGTGGAACATTTATCGCAGGAGCGTTACTCACCATGATGCTGAAGTGATGCGATGTGCGATCCTCTTTGAACTTGTCAGATACATTGTACTTGTCGGTAGAAAGTAAGTCACACGATGTACTTCCGTTCGGTAGGGAAAATGCAGCAACGTTAAGGGAGAAACAATGATCATTCCTCATACATCTTAAGAGGCAGTCTGTATCAGATGGAAGAGCAATTCCTTCAATTTTGGGGACATCCAGGAAATGATTAGAATGCTCCACGAACTGCGCTTGTCTTGACATGC